AAAGGGAAATTTACGATATTTTCTCAGCGGCTTCTTACTGTTTTGTTTTTACGGATCATCATTTTCTTTCGATATTGCAGATTTGATTTAGCTCGTAGAGTCTTATACGGGGTCGTTTGAATTGTAAGCAAATTTTCGCGATTCTTATCGAGACTTCTTATGTTCTAAGGATATAACCAGAATAACTTTAAGCTCTCGAAATGTTCTCATCACTTTAAGCTCTCGAAATATTCTCAAGTAATCTGCTATACCCTCGATTAGCATTTACTGAATAATAAAATGCGTATATACTATTTTATTTATTTTTAAAAAATGTGATATCTTAGAATAATAATATCTTTAGCTAATTTTGCATGATATTTTAATTCTGCCACGATACAAAATTAATCTATGTTTGTAGCATAATTAGAAATTGTTACACTCGTGATATTCGGACGAAAATAGACACTCTTTTCGATTGGAAATTTTGCATTTTAATATTTTATGCACGTTCGAGCGATCTATACACAATCGATATATCGCGAGATGGCAGGAATACTGAAGTAATGCTCGCACCGTAACGAGAATTGGGGAAGGTTGTAAAACAGCGTCTAGCCATAGTAGAGACATAGTTTTAGTTAATTCGCGTGAAGACTCTCTCTCTCTCTCTCTCTCTCTCTCTCTCTCTATCTATCTGTCGAAATCACCTCCACTTTACTTCCGGAGCGGTTCCGCATATAGCGACAACCTCCCGCACGGTCAGCCCTGGACCCTCCTGCGCGTAAATCACAGCACTGCCGCAGATCCAATTATCAAATTGTCCGGCACTTCAGCCTAGAGAGACTCCGCTCTCTCGCTTCGGTGGGGAGAAGAGAACGATACTAGGCGACGTTTACGCCGAAGAACGCGAGCGAGATGACGGGGCGAGCGGGTCCGCTAACTAAGGGAGCGATAGATCCTGCAGGACAAAACCGCGAAAGACGGGACGACGACGTCGGCCAAGATTTATCGTTTAAGTGACTCTATCGAGGCGAAATCTAAGTGCACATCGCCCGAGTACGAGAAACAGGAAACAAGGAAGAAACACTTTCTCTATCGTAAAGACCAATCGTTAGATAAATAGCGAGAGCTTCCTCTATGCGTTGATCGTTGTGTTTCACAATAGATACCGAATTAATCTATAGAAACTTTCCGATACGATAAAAATATCGATTCCCTTTCGTTATCTTTCCAGAATGATCAAAACGACATAGTTGTCGGAAAATTTTGATAGTCCAAGTAATTATTTCAGTATCAGATAAAATAATGACAGAAATTGCTTAGTGAGCGTTTTTTCTTTTACTAGATCTGATTTTTCGATTAAAAAGTCTAAAAATGATACCTACATTTTCTAATTTTACCAATTATATTATTATACAGAGAGATATATGTATGTACAATAATAAATTTGATAAAAAATTATCAAGTAATGTTTCACTTGATTTTAATTCTGCTTTTACAATTGTTTAGATTAATGAAAATATCGTATTGACCGAAATTATTTTTTATCATATAATAATCATATATATTTAATAAAATTTCTTGTAATTATCTTACAATACATACTTTGTTATATTATCAATTTAATATAGAATAATTCAAAAATAATTTTTTGTTTAAGATATTGTGAATAATAATCCGTCTAAATATATATAATTTTTTTTATAAATAATTAATTTTTTTATTAAAAATTCGGTAAATAATATTTTGGACTATTAAACATGGTTGACAGTTGTTGTTTTTATCTGGGACATTTATGGTAATTTCATAACGAGCTTAATGGTTTCTTAGGGGTTAAGCCGTCGCGTGTAACGGAAAGGAGTGGTTAGCTCGGAAATGTAAGTCGGAAGTGCGTGTAGATGTTGCACTGTGTTAAGGAAAGGGATACAAATGTATACACTCTCTGCACGCAAGTCTAATTCAAATGTCAGCCTGTGGAGGCGAAGGTAATTCATTTGCCACGTTGAAAACACGATAATTCTATTATGATTGCTTTGTGAAATAAGACATCACCAAGAGAGATCGTAACAGAAAAGCGCTAAATCATCGTTGTGCATTTCTAGATTTAAAACAAATACAAAAATGTATAATTAAGAAGTAATTAGAAAGCAAGTGAGCTACATCTCTAATGTACTTTTTCTCGTATACGATTAAAGAGAAGTTTGTTCCAGAATAATCGCAATTTATAAGCGGCACGAATAATAAATTTATAAAGTAGAACTCGTTGTGTAAAATACGAGGAAGAGATAATGCTGTATGCAGCATTATCGCTTCTTCGAAAGAGACTCTAATTCTTGAGCATGATTCACGTCACTTTAATGACCGCGCGACATGTGATTATGCGCTGCGACATACATACTATATATACATACATATATACATATGTCGATAATTTCAAATGCTTGAATCGCGTCGAGATAACCCCGTATTTCCAGTAATTTTATCACGAGACGCAGACTCCGTCGAATGCATCTCACGTGGAAAAATGCAATTTGTGCCGTTTCGTACCAGGATTTCCCACCTTATCGAATTCCTCCACTTAATGTTTTGCCTTCGTGGCACGAGCCGGAGAATTTTTCTCCCGATTTTTCGCCCAACTATATATCCACCGCTTTATAATTGCACAATTATCGTCATAATGAAATGATTCACCATACATCAGTTAGTCTAGAATCAAGACCGAATTTGATAAACGTTTTAATCGTTTACATTGCATTAAATTACAGATAATGGCGCACTCAATTAAGCGAACTTTACGTTAGAGAGAAAATATTATTTATAGTAGCTAGAGGGGGTTTGGTCGCGCCCAGATTGAATGACAGTGGGAATTAGGCGTTTATATATTTTTGGCTGTATGCTGCATCGATGTTGTTTGTTATTAATACATGTAATTAATACTATATGTACAAATTATACAAATTATATAATTCATTATAATATCCATGTACTATTGATATCGTTAATTTAGCTAGATGAAAATATCCGAAATTCATGGGGATTCAGAGAAAGTTAAAACCAAAATTTTGATTAAAGCATTAAACGGCATAAAAGTCGGTTAACATTTTATATCGTTTTAAACAATTTTCACAATAGATTGTAAAACAATATGAAAAATAGTATTTAATTCATTTATTTTCCTTATCATAGTTTTAGATATCTTACATATTATAATATCTTATACATTATAAATATTAGTAAATTAATTTGGCTATTAATTTCGTAAAATCAGATTTTAAAAACAATTATAACACAAGTGTTTGTTAAATTTAAAAATTATATGTTACATTTTTATCAGAATTATCAGACTCAATGATAATAAGATTTTAATTATATATTAAATATTCGATTTGATTAAAAAAAAATCAATATAGATTCTCTTAACTAATAAATAATGTGTTTTAGAAAAAAAGCCATAATAACTTTCATAGCGAGCAATTTCGAAAAAATATCCAAAAGGTTTCTCGGGGGAGGGGGGGAGAAGGGAGGAACGACAATCAATTGAATCAATTTAGAGAGCGGTTTTGATAGGCCGAATGACACGTGAGCGTGTTACACGGCGCGTGTTCTGAAATATTACGCCGGTGGTGTCGCCAATTATCGCCGACAGCGCGCGAAAAACGTAATGGACGATTACAACTAACATCAAATCGTGACACTTTCGGACAATAAAAAGTTGGGAATGTACAAACCGCTCTCTGCGCGCACCCGTGACGGTCGCGTATGATGGCACTGTTGACAAAACGTGATTATATTTTGCTACATCATTCGCGAAATCGCGGCCAAATGTCAAAATAATAACTTCGCGTAGATACATTATAGCGAGAAAACGAAATAACGGTTAGTATTAAAGGCTGCAAACTGCAGCTGTATTAATGTTAAATTAATTTTGAATTTGGCGGACATATCAAATAATAATTCTAATTAATAGTATACCTTAGAATAATCTATTTTTAGTTAGATTATCTTATGTACGTGCGCGTACGTTTAATAATATTACTAGCATATGTTACATACATATATTATTGCAAGACATATTGCATTAATAAAATTTAATCTTTCAATTCAAATAAAAATTTGATTTCCTTTGTAGCATTATATTTATTAAACTGTACTATTATTTTTATTAAATTATTATTGCATTCTTATATGTGTTTGTTTGTTTACTTTTGTTATCTTTGTGTATATTAAATCTAGAATAATTTGTTGTGCATTAAATCTAGAATAATTTGTTGCATATTAAAGCTAGAGTAATTTGTGATAAACATTGTATCAATTCTCGTTAGTTTATCTTATCGTGTTTGAATAGAAAAGAACAAGAGTATATATTTCTTAATTTTTTTTAATAATGAGATTAAATCTAAGATAAGAGTTTTAATAATGAGATTAAAAATAATAGCTTTAAAGAAACTTTTGTTTGAAAGAAAGAACAGGAGAAATACCGATAGATTGACCCGACACTATATAATCTGATTATTATCAATTAATAGTACTATTATTGTTAAAATTGATAAAATGTTTTTTCTTACACAAGTCATAATATGTCTCAATAGAAATAATTAATATGTGTTAGATTTAATAAAATTAAATTTATTATACATATATGTATCTTACAGATACTAAAATCCATCTCTCGAAAGATCAATTAGTTTGAGTGCAATGAATATATTGAGCAGCTGACGCGAACTCAAGCAGAAAAACGATGTGATTGCACCGCTATTGCAAGTCACGAGAAAAGGGGTTTGGTTATCGCGATATTCGCGGGAAGTTCAAAATTTTTTCGAAGTTCTGTAAAAAGATTTTCGAGAATGCATATATATTTACGTTTCTTTCTTTGACACTATTTACACAATCGATGAAACCTGATAATAACGATAATAATATCAATCGTGTAAAGGTAAAGAATGTATGTGATTTGTAAAGGTTCTTACGGTGCACTGCACACATACATTTAAAAAGATTATCATTTCATAAATGTTCTACGTACATATCAGCCTATATATAAGCTGAGGATTGTTGGAAAGATTCAGAACATTTGGAAGAGAGGTCAGTGCAGGACCTGCAGGTGAGAATACTCTTCTATCATTTCTAATTTAAAAGTGTTTCTCTACCTTCAACAGTTCATCTTTTTTATAGAAAAGAAATCAGCGAAAATTATTAAGATGGGAAAACTCATTTCACTTCTTTGCTTAGCGTTTCTCGCAATGACTTTAGTTGTGGCTACTGAATCATCTGTTCGCTCTTGTATACCACATGGCAAACCAGTAAGTACTACTGTATTATTCAAAATTATAATATATATATATATATGTCTAAATCTTTTATTAGTGTAACAAATGTACACTAATCATCAAAGCCATTAATATTAATCATGTAATTTAATATTATATTCCGCTTCAATAATTATCACATCAATTTATGGGAAAATATATATGTATAATGTCGTTAAGTTGAAGTCAGTTTTCAAAAATAATATTACATAAAACCGTACATATAATTTCACATAATCTTTTTTACAGTGCACAAATGAAGATGAGTGTTGCCATGGAAAAGTTGCATTTGTATGCCATCCATGGAAACATATTTGCACTGGAGGACCCAAATTTCCATTCATACCGTCGTGGCCAATAATAAATCCAGCTAACATTCAATTAGATTTCGAGGATTCTTTATATGATTGACTTGAATTGTTTCATTTAATCTTGTGTTTAATTTAGAAAAATTGTTCAATTTAGAAAAGAATGTGACTCACTACTGTAATTGAAAATATATATGTATTTGCTTATTCATTATACAACAAAGTTTCTTTTATTATATTTTTTTTTTAATAATGGAAAAAAGTTTCTTACTAATTAAAATCATTAAATTATGAAGATTATATAATTAATTATAAAAATATATTCATGTGCACATGTTCTTATATTAAAAATAAATTCATAACAAGATGATAATTGTTCGATATTGAGATGTAAATTATACATTGTATGATAACATCAAATTTTTATATGAGGATTTAAATTGGTTATTCAAACTTTATTATATAGAGTCATTGTGTAATTTGCTACAATCAATTTCTTTTTTTCATTTTTCATGTTAAAAAATATACTATTGCAACTGAATATATACATGTTTACTTAAAACATTTAGTAATAAATCATTTTATCTTGAATAACCGCGCTAAAAATAATATTTCATTAAATATAAAGTTTTATTAAAGAAATATATTATTAAAAATCTTCCTTTTTAAATAATCGAGTTAATAAAATTTCATCAATAAAACTTTTTAAACAATATAAAAATACAATAACTAACTTTCTATTCTCATCATCCTATATTTTTATAAATAATTAATAAAAAATTTTTAGTTACTTCTACATTATTTATTTATGATGTAGAGTTATTTAATTACTAATCAGAATTACAATAATAAATGAAATATTTGCACAATTTTGTGTTTTATAATATAATCTTTTATATAGTTTTAATTAAATACAAAATGCTATACAAAATTGTAACGAAATATGAATGTTTTATAATTATAAATAAAAAAGTAAAGCTGTTATATACAGCTTACAAAGAAACCTTTGTAGTGACATAAGTCTTAGATAAGACAGCACAGATATTTTCTCTTACAGATATATCAAATAATGCAAACAATGTTTCGATATTTTTCATTTGCACAAGTGTGACAGAAAGTATAAATGCTCCTTAAAAATCAAATAAGTGATTAGTTGCGATCATTACTTGTGAGTTGTACAGCGGCTACTCAAGAAAAGTAATTTATATATTTATCTATCTTATTTTAAATTATAATAAATTATCTGATCTTTAATATTATTAGTTGCTGAGCATTTAATAAATAATAAATAATATTAATGTAAAGTTATTATATATATATATATATATATATTGATATTTCGAAAAATATTTTTAAGTTATTTTATTGGATGGTATAATGCAGCTTATACACAAATATGATAATTTTAGAAAAAATAAATATTAGAACGATGAAGTACGTTATTTTCACTATTCTCATTATCATTGCTGTGGCTTTCGCTGCTCCTCAAGGAGATAAAGAAGCTACGTGCAGTCCTATGGGTGGGCATGTAAGTATTTTGATTGTATTTATATTTTTTGTGCAACAAATTGTATATTTTAATAAAAAAATATAAATAAAATTAATGAACAAAAATTGTATATTGTATGAAAAAATAAAATATTTCATGTATGTTATGTTGGAGAGAGAAAGAGAGAGAAAGAAATAGATGAATAAAATTAAGAAATTATAAAATTTATATTTTATATATTAATTTTGCATTTGTATTATATTAAATTTTTAACATATTTTAACGGTATTTAAATAATAACGTTAATTGATAATATTAGTAAGTATCATCAATATTTGTAAGTATCATATTTTATATATTGCAGTGTCAACAATATGGCGATTGCTGTCGTTATCTAGATTGTTTATTCTATGCTGCAAAATGTGTAGCAAAATCAGGTGTGATTATGCCTGGAGATACAAGACCTATTGGTCCCGGACCATATCCTCCGAATGCACCACTTCCTTAACTGATATTCTTTTCTATCTAAGCATGTCGCTTTTTCTTTGAGAAATATATTATAAATAACTTTTAATAAAGAGCATATTTAAAAACTCCCGTAGTCTGTTATTACTCATAAATATTTTTTAATTGCTAAATAATTAACTGATGTTACTGCATAAAATGTTACTGCGTAAAATCGTACTTTGCATAATGCTTTAAAATAAATAGAGGAAGAGACCAAATGTAAAATATTTTACTATATGCGTATTGAAATTGTACTTACACGCAATCATTAATTCTTCGGTAATGATTAAAACGAATTAGACGACCGCGCCCATTATTATTTGGAGGGATTATCGTAAATACATCTGCGGGTATAATCGGATGTGCTTGAAATTTAATATCTATTATTACACGTTATAGCTCCTACCATGAACGCTATGTTTAGCTGTTAGATGCATAATTAAATATACATTAATTAACCAACGAGGTTGATGAGTGTGTAAAAAGATTGACATGTGTTATTATTAACACTTTATAAATTTATAACTAAAATTATATAAGTTAAATAAGTTAAATAGCAAATAAAACATCTATTTTTTGAAAACTGTATCTACATATGCAAATGTGTGTACATATTAACCAATATGTTTAGAACAGTATAAGTAATTAGATTTACTAATCGATTATAATCAACAAATCTAAATTTTGCTTTTACTATGCAAATAAAAATAACGAGCGCTTTCAAATAATTATTCAGTGATTTGATTAAGTGTGTTTATTTTTTAGAGCAGTGATCCTAATTGCACATATCATTACCTAATGGGACCTAAAATAGGGTCGCAAATATTACTCGATTATGGAGCAATTGCGCAACTATTATATTTTATCGATAAAAGAGTAACATATCGCCGCGTGTAAAACTTTATAAATGTTGCGCAAAACATGTGTGTTCATGGACAATATAAATGCGATATAAATGAGCATGATATTTAATAATATTGAAATAATTGGTATTATGTTGCATTTTGTTAAACTGAATCTGACATACGCACGCACTCTTTATACGTTTATATATTTTCACCAATTAAATGTAAATTCTCGGGTATTTATATTATTTCGTATTAATTTTCAACAATATGTATACAGTCAAAATCGGTAATGCACTTTGTATTGGCAAGGAAAAAGCTTTAAATATATTAGTCGCTACTTATCATTTTTCCTCTATCTACAAATTGATTATCTACTATCGATTATTAGTACCGAGTGTTACCGGAAAGAGAGAGAGAGAGAGAGAGAGAGAGAGAGAGAATATATTTTAAAAGTATATTTAGATATTTTATTTGAAATTACAAATTTAAAACAAACAAAACGTATGTAAATATCCGTTTTGTACATTTCTTGAATATCTCATATATACGTCAATTGACACTAAAAAGCTCAAAACGCAGCGATAGCACTTGAGTCGAACAGACGGTGGTAAATCTGTGAAAAACGTGAATGTCGCTTAAAAGCGTCAAGCATGTCTGCCACTGTTGCAGATATTACTAAAAAGGTTAATTCGGCTCATGATGTGTCGAAGCTTCGCCGATGACAGGAAAAAAACCCAGACTATATTCCTATTCAGCCACTATAGGCGAACAAAAGGACAATGCTACCGGATGATTCAGTTTCCTTTCCTGTTGTTTCCTGTCAACCGAATTAAAGAACAAGAGCGCTTTGTCGGAGAATCAATGGAATGCACGAGGCGCGCAATATGCACTCGATAGAATGCCGGCGCAAAGGGCAAAAAGCACTTGTACATTCGATACTGTTGAAATGGAAAGAGAATATCAGCGGAAGGCGCCTTTTTGCATTCTCATATTCCCGTTTTATGCGTATAAGATGAACTGTAATAACCGAATCTGCAATAACTGCAAAATCATTTCTCTGGTGAACGTGAGTTTAAGATTGACGTAACGAATAGCTTTATAGTATGATTTTCTTTTCTACAATACAGCCAGCGTTTATTAACTTTATTGGCATTTAAGTCTCATCAAAGTTGCTTGTATTAATTTCAAAATACAAGTCACTAGTTTTTAAATATTTAGAATATTGAATGTTTCAAGGCATAAAATTAACAAATACAATTATATATTTTAAATGCGAACAGGAAATTATCTGATCTTATCTGATCTTACCTTATCTGAAATTACCATATTCTTTTGCATAATACATAATACATAAATATATGTATACATATAATGTTTCAAAGATCGATGAATTTAAAATAAAATTCATTAAAGTATTATGAAAAATCACACCAAGTAGCATTAAACACTTTTTCTTTAATTTAATGTTAAAAAGTGCGTAATATATATAATAGTAATAATGCCTGTGAAACTACACGCTTATGTATCATTTTCATGTAAAGAATTTTAACGATTAAAATATAATTATTGTCTCAGATAGAATAATCTAACACACACATTACGGTGCTTTCTTAGAATAGATATTTGAAATAAATAAAAAGATATTTTGCGGCAAAAGTATGACATCAATACTTTCAAAGAATTTGTCTTTAAAAATGTATTTTTTAGTAGATATGGAACACTTTTATATGTAATAACTAACTTAATAATGTGTAAATGCGTGTATAAGTAATGTGACTTTAGATATAAAAGTTCAACAAATAAAGAAATAAGAAAAGAAATTACCATACGTACGAGAAAATGTGACGACTATAATATAACTTCTACGTCGAACACGTACAATGACATGCTATATACATGTTTGTGTGTATGAGTAGTCGTATAAATGCTTTGACCGTTGTAAATGAAGAAATCAGTCGAGGTCGAGCTCTTTAGACTCTCAGAGCTAAGAAGAAACATTTGCTGAAGTATACCGTGAGTATTTACAAATACATTATATTTGATTTACACAAAACAACTTTTTTCTTTCTCTCAATTTTTTGTATTTGTTTTATTTAAATTTAAATTAAATACATTTTGAGACAATAATGTTAGAGTTTATTTCTTTATTAGTGATTTTTCCGATTTTTATCCGATATATATTTTTACTCTTATCTTAATTTATTTATTTTTTAATATTTACTACGTCATGATGTCAGTGTGTTCGACGATGAATAATTACAAAAAAGTTCTTACATTTTCTCATATACGTGATAAAATATTACCTATTTAATGATACTTATACACATTCATATATATTTATTCATATATTGTATATCTATTCATATATTACTGTACAGTCGTTTGCGCGCGTGTTTACTATTTATTAATAAAAAGAAAATCAAATTTTAAAGTTCTAATTAAAAAGACTTTAATGCTGCTGGTTAATTTACAAAGTTTATAATTTAAAAGAAAGAGTGCTATACGTACCTGTATATAATATATATTGTACTTTGTGAGCGTTATAGACATTAGATATAAGTTAAAATTGTGATTTGTAATCGTAATAAGTAATCTTTTATTCATTAGTACGTTATTAGACAACATTGCAGCGCACTCAACATGCATTATGTTTGTTGCCCATGATTAAAATAATTGCATATTTTGATAGTATATTAGATGTTTTCGTAATCCAATAATATAAATTTATAAAATGTGACTCATAGATTATTTTTTGTAAAAAAAGTATGTAAAATTGCATAAACAATTAACATAAAATTACACGAAAAATAATGAAAATGTAATTTCTATTATTTATTGTGTAGTTTTTACATTTAAAATAGTTCATGTAATTTTATAGTTCTTTTTAACGACGTATCAGAGAACTAATTGAATCAGACTTTGAGTCCTTGATGATTCATTCATGTATACCTGTAACCGGCTCCACTAAGATAAAACTCACGGTCGACTTATCGCATTACGTAAGCTGAATTTACGTCTGAACATGTCTCGCATAAATTAGGAATTAAAGCAGAGTGAAAAAGAAATAAAAAATGAAATGTTCTATTTTCATATAATTAAAATTGCATCAATTATATGTTATTTTATATAATTTTTATTTTAAATTTGCATTATCGCATTTTAAAATATTCTTTATCATTTGTGTTAATTTTAATTTGCTTAAAATTATTTAATTGCAGAAAAAGACGTTACTGTGAAAAGATGGCGAAATTAATTTTATTCATCTTCGTAGCGTTGCTAGCTACGTCTCTTATCATGGCAGCACCCGATAAGTCGAACAGTTGTGGTCGACATGGTGACCCCGTTAGTATATACATATTTATTTATTTTACATTCCTGATAAAGTCATTATTTTTTTAATCTCACTTTTTATAAGTATACGCATTATTGCTATAAGATCAATAAGGAAAACGGAGAAAATATTCTTAGCCCGTAGATTATTAATTTTGCAGTAAACTTGCAACAGAGTTCTAAATAATTTAATATAGATATTTGTACGATAGCGCGCTTGCGTCAATATCAAAATAGATAGCTCTAAGAAGAAAAAATAGATAGCTCTAAGAATAAAGCTCTAATATAGATAAAATACAAGCAATTTTTTAACGGTAATGCCGTCACAATTAATCTATTCAAAATAATGCAAACTACATTGTTATATATTTATAAAAAATTAAAATTTTTTTGTTTTAATTTTTTTCACTATTTTAATTTGACAAATTTTTTATTTGCACATTGTTATACAAAATATTTAATACATACACACACGCACACTAAATACTTTGTATAACAATGTGTAAATAAAAATTTGTCAAATTAAAATAAAGTAAGAAAATAATTAAAAAATTGTTTATTTTATATATATAATATAATAATGTATTCGCATTATTTGATTATTAGATTGTAGTGTGCAAATAATCTTTTTTTATTTATTTTAAAATATTTTTTTTTTAATTATTTTTATATATATAATATTAATGTTCATAGAATTAATGTTCATATAGAATTAATGTTCATAGAATTGACATTAAATATTCTTTATCATTAGAATAAGTTAAATTGATGAATAACATTTTGTTTATTAATTTCAGTGCTCTGTTGGGTGCTGCACTGGTCTTAGATGTCATCCTTATGCAAATAGATGTCAGGTTATAATTACTGAAGAGGAGCTGATGGCTCAACGTGAGAAAATCTTGGGTCGAAAAGGCAAAGATTATTAAAAGATGTAACAACGATCTTATTTAAATCATTGTGAGTTTAATCTGAGAAGATTGCATTTCAAGAAATTAGAGATTAATATATAAAATATGTATAATATAAAATTTTTTGTACAATCAAAAAGTTATTGTTAGTATAGGTGATATCTTTCAAGACGAGAAGTGCAAATAAAAGCATAAATTATAAATGTATTATTTATCAAGATTTTTGAAAATATATAAAATATATGTCTGACATTATCTACATTTTTTATTTATATTATTTTTAATTTTGTATAATGATAGCCATTATACTATATTAATCATGTTACATCTTTTTATTTTTTTAAAATTACATACAATAAAAAGTATTTCGCTACTCACCAATACGATGCGTAACAGAGAAATTATAGTATAATGTTGATCTGTAAAATACAAATAAATTCAAATTAAAATAATATCAAAAGTAATTAATAATTTTAATTTAAGTTTTATTTGTTTAAAATCAGATCTTTTCTGTTCTTAAATTACATATTTGAAAAATTGTTGAAAAGATATTCTTAGATATACATTTTTATAAAATATAATTTAATTTTTATAAATTAAAAAAATTTAAATCTAATACAAGTAATAAATAATTATAAATCTTAAATAAAATAAAAATATTTTATATGTATAATTATATATATGATAATGTGGTAAATGATATATTTTTATTTAGCAATATAATGATAAATTGTCAATGTAAGAATTGTCTCACAAATTTTTATGAAACTCATATTTTATATATTTTAATGTGTAAAAACTGAATCTGCTTGAAAAAATTCTTATTTTGTATATAGATAATTGTGTTTGAACACAGTGATTGTATGTATGTATTATATAACAACATTGCTATAACTTTCAAAATAATGTCTTTTACAAATAATGGAAAGAACCATATTTGATTCACGTAGTGTCACGTGGTATCTCGAAACGGCGGAATCGGATCAAGACTAGCGGAATCGGAAATTGGAATTTAGCACTTTCCGCGCTCGTTTACAATATATTGCACGTATTTATGGTGTCGGGACGCTTTCGTGATGCAGATATATAATATATTTATCGCGATCGAGAGTAAGTAACAATATGATATTATAATCGTAAGAATGCTTGTCTCGTCAAAGTGATTTCGGGTTAGAAAGAATTAATATTATTCGGACTAGTTTCAGTGTATATCGGGAGTGCTGAAAAAAGTAGGGGGCGAGTGTCGTATTATGTGTAAATATATCACGTTGATAATGCGATTATGTGACAGAGAAACGCAATCATGTCAAAATACTGTGATTAATGCTGTGATTGCCATGTATAGTCGTATAATTGTATTAACGATACGGTATTATAATCGTAAGAATGCTTGTCTCATCAATGTGATTTTTGATTAGAAAGAATAAATGTCATTTGGAAGGGAGCGTGTATTATTGGGAGTGCCGAGAAAAGTTTCGGGCGAATGTCGTATTATTGCGTCAATAATGAATGATAATGAGTCGACAATGAATAAGAGATTTCAAGGAAACACGCGCGCATTTCAAATAAAATTCAAAGCATCATTGAAGTAAGTTTTTTTAGTACAATTATTAATAAATTATTAATAATTAATAATTATTAACTGAATAATAATTTATTTAAATTATCAATAACTTTATTAATAATTATTGATAATTATTAATAATTTATTAAAATATATAAATTATTGATTTTATTAATAAAATTATCGAGAAATTAAGTTACCGAGAATAAATATTGCCTGCAAATAAAAGTTAATTATAAATTAATTATTTATATATATATATATATATATATATATATATATAAATATTTATTATTATTTATCTTATTATTATTTAATAATTGTAAGTATTACATACAAAATAATCTCTACAATATTTTATATAATTTAGATTACAATGGAAAATAATTATTTTCATTCAGATTTAAAATGAATCATTATTGCTGAGATAAATGAGTAATTAACATGATAAATAAAAAATTAAACAAATAAAAAATTAAACAAATAAAAAATCATACAGTTACTCCACCGTTGCCTGATGCTTCGTCAGGCCTGCTCCTCTTTTCTAATTCATTTTTTACTGCTTCTTTATGGCACTTATTTCTCAATCATGAAAAAACATTACATTAATCAGTAAAATATACTTACATACGTGTGACACTTTGTGTGATGTTAATCGCAGATAACGCGTATTTTATTATAATATTATATTCAAAGAATAAACGTTCTTATTATGCTACGAACATTATTATATGAAATTACAATCTATTTCGTGTCATTTGGTCTAGTTTGTATATTACTCCGATTAGAAAAGAGATAGAGAAAGGGGAGAGAGAGAGGAAAGAGATATATAATATGGTTAGTTGTAAATTATATATTATTATATTTAAATCGATGAAAAGCGCGATACGAAATATGTACGTACATATGCATATGCAAATCTTAGCTCTCATTGTTAAAAATACAAGTATCATCCATAAAGATTGAAATAAAATGATAATTTATTATCTCTTATATCCTCTATTATTTTGGATCTTACTTGCAATAGATTGTGCGAAATATATATTTCTGGTAAACAATTAAATCATTATCGATTTATTTACGAGCCGTCAATCGCGATAGTTAATGCTTCAAATCGATAATTTTTACTTAGAAAATAATCGCGTTTAAAAATCCTATTAAGACACATGTTGCGATCGCATTCCGATCGCCGAATAATAGGGCGATATGCAGATACGCATCATGCACTGCTGCATCTCCTCCTTCTCTCCCATTCCTCACTCCCAATTTCCTAGTACACAGGTAGGTCTTGCTATGGATGACAAGATCACTGCACATAACAATAACACGTTGCGAAGTGCTGAAATACGTGACGTATGTATATATGTATAATAAATATATCAATGTATACATATGCAATCATCTTATTCTTTATTTATATTTGAGTCAAACTCGAATGGGAAGGCGTGCGTTGTATTATCATTCGAAATACGATTGCGACAAGTACTAGGAGAGATACCAAATGTGATTATTTCCTACGAGCGATTATAGATTATCAGCTCGCGCGATTAATTAACTCTCGTAATTGATGACTATTGAAAGAAATGTCATGAGTACCGTACAGATCGATTCTGAATCGAGTGGCGTTGCGCATTTACGTAATAGCAAACACATATCGTGTATTTAATCGTGTATTTTAATATTTATTAATTACGTATAATAAATTCAGCTTATATAGCATTGTAATTTAGTTTATATAGCATTGTAATTTATCGAAATGTCTATTCTTTTCGTTTTATTCGATCGAGATTATCTGAATAATAATATGATACATATTTTTTGATATAGCATTCTATAGATATGTATGTTTAATTTTAACTTACACTATTTTTTACAATTATATATTGTAAGATAATAATTATCCTGAAACGAGATATACATATAATATATTTTTTTATTAGCAATAGAGAGTTATTTTCTAATGACGAGTACATTGCAGCTTTGTGATATTGATATAGTTTTTGTTCTCTCTTCATAATAAGATACGCGTCGCGTGTAATTAACATCGTCGTGTAATTATCGTATTCTGCCGATTAGTGCGCGTGCGATTGTAATTAACCGTATTTTTGCAAGTAAGTGCCATGAAGAAGCAACAAAAAGTAAATAAGAGAAAAGAAAAAGATCCGGGAAGAGATCGAACGAGTAGGATGAATATAAAATATTTCTAATTTATTTGTTATATTTATTATATTTATTATAAAAATATACTTGTAAAATTAATTGCCCGTTTATTTCAACGATCTATTTTATATTATTGTATAATGTATAATATAATGTAGATAAAATATTTTATATTTTATTTAGAAATACTTAAAATATTTGTAATAAAATATTTGCAATAATATTTTGATATATAGACGCTTATGGAATAATTTAATATTATAAAATTTATAATTATAAAAATGTATAACTAAGTCATTTAGGTAAGAAATAAATTTTTTATCACATACATATAAGCGTTTAATAATAACATAAAGTTTTATCAATTTTTGGCGATTATATAAGTTTTTTATTAAATATCTATATCTCAAATACAAAATTTAAATGCGCTTAACAATTACCTTTTAAAATAGTAATTATTTTAGATTGTTTAAATATTTTTTTATATATTTTACAGATCAACGTGTTGTCTGCTATAATTTCGTCATTGCACATTGTACCGGTGAGTTCTATAAATTATCTTTTATTTTAATCTTGAAATAAATAAATATCTATGTGTATACTTATACACAAGTATTCTACGAGATAATCAAAAATTGAACACGTGATAAAGTTTATACATAAATATAATTTCTATAATTTTCTGTTTTTGTGAAATTGTAAAAATATTCAATGTTATCTTCGAATAAAAATGACGTAAGTACATATTTTATAAATTGAGAATTATATTGAGAAAAGCATTAAGGAAATGGTTAGAGATTAATATTTTCAGTAAAATATTGAATTTAGCAACTTTTTCGAAAAAACATAAAAGTATGCGCTAAATATATATATGTATAAAATATGTATTATACTTTTCTATACGTATGCGTGTATGTATACACTAATAAAAATTCAGTTATCCTATCATTCTGGATTTAAAAATCGCAAAAGTATTATGATAGTTTTTAAGCTTATTTACAATACAAAAAATACAAATTTGCTGAGGTTTAAGGAAAAATTTTTAAAAATTACCGATTCAACATAAAATTTCCTCGTTCGTGGGTACGCATTAAAAATTCAAGTTTTAATTTAATTTCAAATTGTATATAGAAAGCTTTATTGTATTCTCTATATACATATGTATCCATTTTTATAGGTACTTGCTTAGTTTACGAATTTTGAATTGTCGTGTGAAAAATATAATCTCAATTTTAATCGAAGCAGTTCTTCGATTCAGTTATTGCGCTATATTTAATTGACAATTAGCAATTTCAAGAATTTTTTAAAAAGTGCCGTATATACCTATTAATTGCTGGCATTGAATTTCTTAGCGATAAACTATAATACATGCTCGAAAAAAAACTTGTCGACGCAGATTGATGAAAAAGGACATTCCGGGATTGCCGAGTGACGAAAATTTCGAACGGATAGATCCGTCGCGACGATCCGGCTTTGTCTACCC